GGGGGGGGGTCAACAGTGGGAGGGCTCCTAGTGTCCTGGCCCCACTGGTGGACCTCCTGATGGCATCTGGTATTTTTGGCCACTGTGTGACACAGAGTGTTGGACTGGATGGGCCATTGGCCTGATCCAACATTGGCTTCTCTTATGTTCTTATGTCACATGACTGCCATTGTCACACTCCTGCCTCCTCAGGCTGGCTGGCTTGACATTGCATAGCACTGTTTCAGACCAGCTTTGAGGTAGCCTAGTACAAATAGTGCATTATTTCCCTATTTCCCTCTTTCTCTTTCAGTGGAACATTTCAGTGCGTGCTTATCTTTCCTACTGAAATCAGTGAAAAGGGCTTCACTTTTGACTGGATTCTGTTATGCCATGCTTAAACTATTTTTGCTACCTTGCCAGGTCATTCATTTTTATTGTTCCCCAATTCTGTAAATTGATTCTAGTCCAAATGTATTGTTTATTGGAGGCCCTTGCTGTTTGTATTCTGCCCTGAGTCTTAGTGAGGAAGGCAGGCTATAAATGAAGCTGAAAATAATAATAATGATATGTATTGGATGGTCTCTGCCTGTGTGTTGTATACGTCTTCTTAAATCAGTTGTGATGGGTACCAGTGTTCCCTCTAAGTTGAGTTAGTGCAAGCTAGCTCACAGTTTTTTTAGTCTCCAGCTCACACATTTTTGTCTTAGCTCAGGAAGGATGGGTCCAGAGCAAACTAATTTATGCAGTAACCAAATTGTTTGCTCACATCTTTAATGCCAGTAGCTCACAAGACTCCACAGCTTACAGGGAACATTGGTGGGTATGTATAAAGTATTATATTGGCATCAATAGAATTAAAGCACAACGTGATGGCAGTATTTTCAAATTAACACTGCATTTTTGTGGTGCTTTGTTTTTTATGGACTGTTTTGAAGTTATGATTTATACTTGGTATGCGAGCTGAGTGGAATGAGTCTCTATTGCTGCTTTAAACCAATTCTGTTTTATTTTTTGGCCTGGATTGTTTTCTGCTAAAACCTGACACGCTTTAAAAAAAGACAGAAAGAAAACTAGTGTGTTTGGTCTACTTATTGAATGTAACCATGGTTGAAGATTCTTATGATTTAAGTACTCAGATACAAACTGATCAGCAGTTGCTATGTTCCTGAAAGTATTTGCATCTCCCCCTGCCACACCCCACAGTTTGTGATAGTGGCTATTGGTGAGTAAACTGGGAGCCAGGATGTTAGTAACAGCAAAACTGCATCCTTCATTTGCTTTTCCAGTGTTTGCATTTTTTGGTCTCATGGTGTATGGTCAGTCAGAATATCCCAAGGAGCTCAGAGAGAAATACTTTTGGAAGGTAAGTTAGAGTTGTACTTTTGGACAAGGATTTAGTTTCTGGATATATCCCCCCCCCCGCGCGCTACTTTTCCTATGTGATGCAGCTCTTGGGGATGTAGCATGTAGCAGAGCAGTTCCAAAGTTGATCTTGTTCTCTTTCATATTCTTGGTGCTTGGGGGGGCAGTGGGAGGGCTTCTGGTGTTGTGGCCCCACTGCCGGACCTCCTGAGGGCACCTGGTATTTTTGGCCCCTGTGTGACTCAAAGTGTTAGACTGGATGGGCCACTGGCCTGATCCAACGTGGCTTCTCTTATGTTCTTACGTCTGGGGCAAGGGATGCTCTGCATTCTTGGTGCTTGGGGGGCAAGAGTGGGAGGGCTCCTGGAGTTTTGGCCCTGCTGGTGGACCTCCTGAGGGTACCTGGGTTTTGTCCAGTGTTTCCTCTAAGTGCAAGGTAGCTAACAGTTTTTTAGCCTCCGGCTCATACATTTTTGTCTTAATTCAGGAAAGATGCCTCCAGAGCAAACTAATTTATGCAGTAGCCAAATTGCTCACTCATAGCTTTAATGCCAGTCGCTTACAAAGGAGCATCCCGGGATGCTCCTTTGGGGGAGAGCCTGGAAAGGAACATCACAGGAAGAGGTGGGGTTTTGGTGCAGTGTGCTGGAAGTGACATCATCGGAAGGGGAAGTGACACCTGGAAGTGACATCACAGGAAGTGACATCACAGGAAGTGACATCACAAAAGTCTCCTGGCTCCACCCCCAAAGTCTCCTGGCTCCACCCCCAAAGTCCTCAGATATTTCCGGATTTGGATTTGGCAACCCTATTTGAAGCCGTCCATGCTTGTAGCCGCCACCACCTCCTGTGGCAGTGAATTCCATGTGTTAATCACTCTTTGGGTGAAGAAGTACTTCCTTTTATCCGTTCTAACCCGACCGCTCAGCAATTTCATGGAGTTCCCACGAGTTCTTGTATTGTGAGAAAGGGAGAAAAGAACCTCTTTCTCTACCTGCTCTATCCCATGCATAATCTTATAAACCTCAATCATGTCTCCCCTCAGTCGTCGTTTCTCCAAGCTAAAGAGCCCTAAGCGCTTTAACCTTTCCTCATAGGGAAAGTGTTCCAACCCTTTTATCATTCAAGTCGCCCTTTTCTGCACTTTTTCCAAAGCTATAATATCCTTTTTAAGGTGTGGTGACCAGAAGCACCGTTAAGTCATTTCCAACCTATGGGAGTCCTATGAATTAATGACCTCCAAAACATCCTGTCATTAACAGTCTTGCTTGAGTCTTGCGAACTGAGGCCTGTGGCTTCCTTTAAAACTGACCTTTTAAAATACAGTATTTGTAACACCTGCCTAGGAGAAAGTCAGCATTACATTTCTTGTAATTGCTATGGGGTTGATATAACTCTGCTGAGGACAGAAAATCACACACCCTTTTGACTGTGTAAGAAAGTTATTGAGCTCTCTAAGTTAATTTCCCCCCTCAAAATAACTTGTTCACTAAACTCAACTAGAAACTCATCTTGTATTTGTCTCTTTAAAAAACAAATCAGATCAAGTTTTTAAAATAAGCAATAACTATTTAATGATGGTTCTGGGTGTTGCCAAATTCAGAATACCATAAAGTCCTTGAATGTTCTAAATTTACCTCTGGCACCCTATAAAGCATAAGATTAGCAGAAGAAGGGGAATTAACAGCATAAAGAAACTGAAGCCCACAGTACAACGCTACAGTGTGAGCAACCAGAGTTTCCCTCTGTCACACTGCCTCTTCTGTCAGTTTGCTTTGACTGAGGCCCAGAGTGTGGGGGAGGGGCTTGTGAACACATTCTCAGAAAGGAGAGAAGTTTCTTTTCTAGATCCATTCAGATAATTTCTTTGGGGCTCATATGTGCCAGCCAAGGTGACAATTGTGTTGATATGGAAAAATCTGTGCAGTGGCAAGACCATTGATATAAAAAAAACTTCTGAGAATCTGAATTTTGGGAATAATATTTCAGGCTATGTTCTAATGGATCAGAACTGACTTCAAATACATAATTACTGTGTGATAACTGACTTACTATAGTAACTACTTGCAAACCCACATTTACTCAGAAAAGATGCACACCATTGCACAAAGTAAGCATAGTTGTGATCCCTGTTAAAAGACTATTGTGCATAACAGCAAAGTTGACACTCAAAACATTCGATGGTAGTTTTGCAATATTTGGAAATTAGTGGATATTAAATATATAACTATTATAAGCAAGGAATAAGAGATATTTTGTTTTAAACCTTTATCTTTGTATTTTTTGTTTTAGTTGTTTTATTAACAGCAACATTACACAGATCAATTTTAAAAATATACAGAATTTTTTTAAAAATGCAATACCATCTATGCTATTGCAAAAGAGATAGTTCTGTTTTAATAAGTCTTGGTTAGTACTTCAGAAATTGAGTCAATTTTGCAAGCAAACGGAACTGTGGATTTTCTTCCTAATTTTGTACAAACCTTATCTGTAAGTTTGTTCAATTTTTGCAATGTCCACTGCTTAATAAAGACATTCTTGGATTGTTGGAACTGATTAATTCTTCCATTGTCTGTCCCTCACAATTCTAGCTGCCTCTAAAGACTTATTATCAAACACTTTGTAGTAGATTGATAATCAATATGAAAATAATTCAGTAAAATCAGTAATGCTTCAAGTGGTAGCTTAAAACTAGTGATAGCTTCAATTACAGACATATGCACAAACAAATCTGTCCACCAAAGATAGAAGAAACCAACATATAAGTAGAACTTTCCCAACATTTCAGTGTATTTATTTTTAATTTCTAGAGCAATTTGTGTTTAGTTTCCTTTAACAACCAAAGAAAGGGTATTTTGATACTGCTGCCAGTGTTTCCTGTATGTAAAAGCACTGTCTCCTAGACATTCTGGTTTTGTTGTTGTTTTTCCTGCATCTCTGCTAAAGTGATCTTGGCGCATTGAAATTTAGGAGGAATATTTTAGCCATGATCTCTCTTTGTGTGTTTTTCTTAATCTCTTCAGGTGGGATGGTGGAAGGACAAGCGCCTCAAGATGAAATATTATGTGTGGCCTCGTGCTGAGCTCTACCCTGACCGTGAGGAGCGGAAGGACGATCATCTTAGTATAGTGACCCTAGAGGAAGCACCATTTGTTATTGTGGAAAATGTGGACCCATTAAGTGGTACCTGTATGAGAAACACTGTCCCGTGCCAAAAAAGAATTGTGACAGAGTAAGTGTCAACAGGATCTTTCTCCCACTGATATCTCTTAGCATGCTTTTCTCTGATGCTCAACAGCAGCAAAGCCATCTGGACTGCCTCAGGCTGGCCACATTACTGCTGGTCACTTTCACAGGGTCCAAACTAGCGTGGCTCAAGAAACTACATAACATTAATTCCTTCAAGTGTTTTTTTTTTTTAATTGAGGGATGTATAAAAAAGGAAATAAGGATAGCTATGGGAAATATCTGGGGATAAAAGGGGAGGCCTTCTGCAATTCTAAATTCTACAATGGATCAATATTTTCTCAAGCAAATTGTTATTGGAAGTTAGTATTTTGTTTATAAACACCACAAAATACCAATGGAATTAAAAAAAATTGTTTGTAATGTTCAGTTTCTACTAGGAGCGAAAGGTTAAACAAAGTACGAATTGAGGAAAAGCAAAGGGATTTTAGTTTGAAGATTTGTATGGAATTTCTCAGTGAAAAAATAAATAATTGCAAAAACACAAAGGAAAATGGGATCATATATTTTAATTGAATTTTAAAATATTTTACTAAGTTTGGCATAATCCTCTGTTGTTATGATTGGTTAGGAACAAGACAGATGAAGAAACTGCCTACATCAAGAAATGCTGCAAAGGTTTTTGTATTGATATTCTCAAGAAAATCTCAAAGTTTGTTAAGTTCACCTATGACCTTTATTTGGTAACCAATGGCAAACATGGGAAGAAGGTCAATGGAACATGGAATGGAATGATAGGCGAGGTAAGCTGTGAAAGGTGTCTACTTTTACCTCATGCTTACTTCTAGAATAAAAGGGTCCCCCCCCCCAATATCTGGTTAATTTCTTGTCCCTGAAAGTCGAAATGAACTGAATATTACTTTGCAAATTTGCTTAGCAATATTTGTGGCTTAAGAATACTCTTATGTGAATTAACATGAAGCAAGTCTGTGATCATTTACATTCATTTTTATATAATTATATTTTAAAACTTCTGTTATGTCATCCAGTGTATAAAAGAAAACAATTATATACTGACAAAATCCATACTAAAATAAAAACAACATATAAAACAGATCTAAATAAATAAAACAGATCTAAGCCAGAGAATTTAGAGGGCAAATGTGCTAGAATTCTGTGGGAGAAGAAGGGCCCTGGAAACAAGGCTATTGATTGTTATTCTAAGCAGAGTTACGTCCTTCTAACTCCACTGAAATCAAAGGGCTTAGCACTGTAACTTTGGTTGCCTTTGTGCCCTTCTTTTCCATAGTTATATCCCTGATCTGTACCCTGAGAGCATTTTTTTCATGCAGCTGTGTGACTGCATGCACATATGTACATGTACATGCATGCACATATATACATGAATGCATGCACATATGTACACATACATATCACACACACATATGTGTGTGAATGCATGCACATATGTACATGTACATGATTGCCCATTAATAGATAGGCTTAAGCCAGACTCTGAGCCTGTCCTTTTTACTTGTCCTAAAAGGCTTTTTATTTTCTTGGAAACAAACCATAGCCCTAGAATTTTTTTTCATCTTTTTTCACTGATCTGACCTTAATTCTACAGTACATGTATGTTCAAATATGATAAGAAGTAATTCTTGTACAACTTGCCGCTTCCTTCACTTCTCATCTCAAACCATACAAACTCGCTCCTTCTTTATCCATCTCTCAGTCCCCATATGCAGATTTGATGTTACCATCTTTGGCCTTTTTTCTCTCATTCTTAAGCTGTTGTGTAAATAAGGAATTCCTTTTATGCCTTATCTGGAGTTGTCCATTGTTACAGATAGAGCCTGGTTCTCATATGGATACATATTAATATGCAACTACCCACATTTGCTTCTATGCAGTAAACTTTACTCTAGTGGATGTTGAAATGAAGCTGTTTCATTTATTTTAAAAAGAATCTCCATGTGCTGAATTCTGGATAGTATGTATATATACAGCAGAAGACAGAAAACAACAACTGGGGTATCAGCAAGAACTTGCGGGGGGCATCTCATTTCCCCCTCCCTCACTATGGCCTCTTTCCCCTCCCTCTCTACTTTTCCTGCTTCCTTCTCTCCTTCCTACACACCAGCAACTTACCTTTCTCTGCCCTTCTGACTCCTCCTCTCCTTCCTTCACACCAGCAACTTACCTTTCTCTGCCCTCCTGTCTTCATTTCCCCCCCCCCCCCCCCCCGGCAGCCTTTCCCCAGGAAAAATTGTGGCCCAGTTGCACAGTGAACATAAGAAGAGTTCTGCTGGATCAAACTGATAGTCCATCCAGTCCAGCATCCTGTCTTACACGGCCAGCCAGTTCCTCTGGATGGCCAGCAACAGGGAACAGAGGCTGAGGCCTTTATAAGAACATAAGAAAAGCCCTGCTGGATCAGACTAATAGTCCATCTAGTCCAACATCCCGTTTCACACGGTGGCCAACCAATTCCTCTGGATGGCCAACAACAGGGCATAGAGACCAAGGTCTTCCCCTAATGTTGCCTCCTGGCTCTGGGATTCAGAGGTTTTTAGTACCTCTGAATGTGGAGGTTCCCCTCAGTCACCATGGCCAGGGCCAGCCCGAGGTTCTTTTGTGCCCTAGGTGGGGCTACCTTCTGGGCCCCCCCCCCGCACGCACCCACCAATTACAAGGTTGCCAACCTCCAGGCGGTGCTTGGAGAGAAGGAGCACGTGACACATTTTGGCTGCTTCCCTCTAGAGTGCGCAGGCCCCTTCTTCCCCCCCCCCCTTGAGCTGCAGGAGGGCCCGGTGGTACTTGTCAATGGCTCCGGTGCCAGGAGGTCGCAGTCCGGGCAAGGCTGAGGGGCCTTCCTCCAATCCCGGGGGGTGAGGGGGGCAAGGGGGAGCCCAACTCTCAGACGACATGGGG